CATTTAAATCGCCTAATACACACTCAAAAGCTGGACGACAAAGAATCGATGCCTTTGAATTATGGTGGTGGCTGTCAGAAGAAGAAAGAGCTCTATCCTGGAACAATAATAGGCACCATGCGTCTTAGAAGGGAATATTTGGGGAGACATTTGTCCCACTTACTTTGGACATGCCCTCAGGACCAGTCCCTAGAGAAGGACTTGGTAGAGGCTTTGTGAACAGGAGGAAGACCTTCCCGGAAATGGTGTGAGGTAGCAACAACCATGAACTCAGAGACAACAACCGTGGGGATGGTTGGTAGGACAGGGCGACTGTCCTTCTGTAGTGCAGGGTCTCTCGGTGAGTGACAATGAACTTGAAGGAACCTAATGACAACAAACAGCCACTTGAATAGGCTGGTTTCTGTCTAGCAGAAATAGCAGCAGCCCCAGACTCTGAGACGGGCTATCACGCTCTCTTGACATGTTAGAGGTGATGCAGTAAACTGGTAAAGGGCAGAGTATGACCTTGGGGTGGGGGGTGGAGGCTCAGAGAAAAGAGGAGGGATTTATCAAGGAGTCTGGAAGGCCTTACTGAGAAGGAAAAAGGACAGCTAGGCAGAGGGAGCAGTGGTGCTGTTTTCTGGATAGGGCAGGAGAGGTGGGCATGGGCCCAATTAGGAAGGAGGGGCTAAATTCTCTTATTGAACCGTCAATCCAGGGCATCTGAAGCTGCAGTTTCAGCTAGGCAGTTCATGCTCTGGGTGATTTTGAGGTAGGCAGGTAAGCTCTCTGAGCCTCAATTACTCATCTGTAAAATGGACATGAAAATACCTACGCCATTGGGTTGTACCGCCCAGTTGGTGCCAACTCACAGCAGCCTTCAGAAGGAAATAGTGCTCGGTCCCACACCATCCTCATGATCCTTGTCAAGTTTGAGGTCATTGCTGCATTTGCTGTGTCAATTCACCTTGTTGAGGGCCTGCCTCATGTTTGCTGACCTTCAATTCATCTGGTTGAGGGCCTACCTCATGTTTGCTGACCTTCCACTCGGCCAGGCATGGCCTTTTCCAGGGGTTGACCCCCCTTGACAATATATGCAGAGAACATTAGACAGAAGTCTTGCCATCCTCACTTCTAAGGCGCATTTTGGCTGTGTTTCTAAGATACCCATTTGTTCTAGTAGGTCCTCAATATTCCTTACCAACACCATAATTCAAAAGCATCCATTTTTCGGCCTTGCTTATTCACTGGCCAGCCTTTGAGTGCATACGAAGTCATGGAAAATACCGAGGCTTGGGTCAGGTGCACCCTAGTTAGGGTCCAT